GATTCACAACAACCAATCTCTCCTATAGGTTTCCTATTTTTGAAACTTCCGCAACCGCCTTGTGCGGTACTACTGGTAACGCAAAGAAAGGGCCAGCCACTCAATTCTACAAAGTAGATCTCAATCGAGGATTCGTTTTTGCGGAACCATGGATTTGAAGTTCCTGAACCGAAGTTCCTGCTAAATGGATAGCTCCTGAAGAATAGTTCTTGGAGAGTAGTTCCTGACGAATAGTTCCTAAAGAGATTTTTGGATGGTACATGATACTTGCAGAGAAGTACATTCAACAATTCCCGGGTAAACCAATTGAAGCCATGAAACGTTTCTGAGGCAAGCCTACTGGTTCAGCTCAAAATAAGGCGACTCTTGGTGAGAATCAAGGTTGCCCCAATGGCTAGTAGAAACCCTCTCTGTATGGACTATTGACAACAGCAAAAGATGCAAAACACGCGCAAACATAAGGTACATTGAGCACTGTTTCAGCACTTCACATGGTAGATCAAGAATGATAAGCTGTCCTTGCTCCGGTCACCGCTGCCTCCTTTAGTTGCTCTGAAACATCATCAGAATTTCCACCAAAGCGGACATCGCCCCACGTCGCCACAGTCCCGTCACTGATCAATGCTGCAAATGCTGACCGAGAGGACGCCAAATGCGATACATTTCGAATATGTTCCCGCACCATTGGTAGTTCACCTTTGGAGTCAGGGATGATTTCGGACCCATCGGACCCTTGGTATCGGGAGCCTTTTCAAGACCTTTGCGAATCCTTCTTGAAAGACTCTTCCCTTTGTTGTCATTAAATCATGAAACAAACAGGCAACTTGCACAACCTTCAGTCTTCGAAGCACAGCAACTCATCTGGCCTCCCATATCACGATCGCCCCAAGCGACGACCTGTCCATCTGCTCTAAGCCCTGCAAAAGCAAAGCGCGCTGCGCAGAGCTGGCGGATGTCAAAGAGCTGATCTTGGACCAGAGTGGTGTCGCAACCTTGCCATGCTGGGGATAGGACAAAGTGCCAACCCTTCTAAAATATAGAATTGTTTGAAGAAGAGCATTTGAAACTATTTGAAACAAAGAAAAATGTGGCTGCAAAAAAAAACACATCACAAAACTACACCATTCAATGTAAGGCTCGACTTTCATGCCAAGCAACCATCCGGATCACCCCAAGTCACAACTGTCCCGTCTTGCTTCAAAACTGCGAATGAACTCTCTGAGGCCTGCAAACGCTGGCTGGCACGTACATGGCATATTCATGACACACCAAATTTTATCGGATGGAGGGTTTGGTGAAACATGACTTCAACAATGGTGAGGTTGTTTGAAGACATTGTTTTGGAAGGACTTGCAAGGGCGGTGCCCTTAAGAGTTTTGTGTCTTGAATTTATCAAATACTAGGGAATCCTGCCTGAATGTCCTGCACTTGCGTCAGTTGACTCTGCACGACGCTACAATCACCACCATTGTTGCGATCGCCCCAAGCCACGATCGAACCATCTTCGAGGAGTGCAGCAAAAGCATACTGCGACGCCCGAATCTCCTGAACCTGGGGTCTTGCGACAGCTGTGATGGCGACCAGGCCTGTGGCAAAAAACTCATAGTAACTCCGCAAATGTCGAGTTTACCTGTTTGTTGCCAACAAAACCCGCTAGCTAAAGAAACTGGGGAGAACATACGTGTTTGTGTGTGTGTGTGCGCCTTGAATTTTCAACCCGTGCCACCCTCATGCATGCCAGAACACGAAGAGTAAGGAACTGTTGTAATAGACCCACTTCAAACACTTCTCTTTTTCATCTGGAGCAAGACAGGTATGCACCAACAACGCTCCGCTCTGATGAAAACGCGCGGCGAAACTTGCAATGCAGTAATATTTTTTCCTCAGGCCCACAACCACTCACGGTCCGTCGTGATATCCTGGTATGTTGCTGGATCACATGCAAGTTGGTTTGCTCGATTTTTCAAGTGAATGAATGCCAATGCTGTCAGCATAACATCCCCCGTGTGTGTGCAAGTGCAAGAGATCTGCTAGCGTAACATCCCGCATGTGTGCAAGTGCAAGAGAAGATCTGCTAGCGTAACATCCCGCATGTGTGCATGTGCCAAGAAAGATCTGCTAGCGTAACATCCCGCATGTGTGCATGTGCCAAGAAAGAACTGCTAGCGTAACATTTAACATCCCGCATGTGTGCAAGTGCAAGAGATCTGGTAGCGTAACATCCCGCATGTGCGCAAGTGCAAGAGAAGATCTGCTAGCCTAGCATCCCACATGTGAGAAAGTGCAAGAGAAGATTTGCTAGCATAACATCCCGCATGTGTGCAAGTGCAAGAGAAGATCTCCTAGCGTAACATCCCGCATGTGTGCAAGTGCAAGAGAACATCTGCTAGCATAACATCCCGCATGTGTGCAAGTGCAAGAGGAGATCTCCTAGCGTAACATCCCACTTGTGTGCAAGTGCAAGAGATCTCCTAGCCTAACATCCCACATGTGTGCAAGTGCAAGAGAAGATCTGCTAGCGTAACATCCCGCATGCGTGCAGGTGCAAGAGAAGATCTGCTAGCATAACATCCCGCATGCGTGCAAGTTCAAGAGAAGATCTGCTAGCGTAACATCCCGCATGTGTGCAAGTGCAAGAGAAGATCTGCTAGCGTAGCATCCCACATGTGTGTAAGTGCAAGAGAAGATCTGCTAGCAAAACATCCCGCATGCGTGCAGGTGCAAGAGAAGATCTGCTAGCGTAACATCCAGCATGTGTGCATGTGCAAGAGAAGATCTGCTAGCGTAACATCCCGCATGTGTGCAAGTGCAAGAGAAGATCTGCTAGCGTAACATCCCGCATGTGTTCATGCGCCAAGACAGATCTGCTAGCGTAGCATCCCGCATGTGTGATGTGTGTAAGAATGCAAAGGCCAAGAACTTTAATACCCCCCACCCCCCAACCCACCCTTACAAAACACTGCGGGCAGTGGTAAAAAACTTGGGGTTCCGAGGTGGTGAAAACGCGCGTTTTCACCAGATCGGAGCCACCAACGCACCAACAACGACCCTTCCCAATATCTCTTTAAACACACAGTTGTTTCCGAGTCTTGGGGGCTGCAAATCAAGCAACATTTCTCAGTTGCATTTGCACTGCACGGCTGTCACCCCCCAAGCGGGGTTCTCCCCACGTCACGACAGATCCATCATCTTTTGCCAGTGCGAAGGCCGAGGAAAAGCGACTGGACCAAATCCTATGGAAGCGGTTGGAACTTGTGGTCGTTCAGGAGGCAGGTGTGTAGTCAACTTCTGAGTTGCCACCAAGATGCAACAATTTGACCTATCTTCGTGTCATGATTGTCAACTTAACAACTCATTTGAAAAAGCAGAACAACTCCAAAGGAGACCTGCTATCGAAGATTGTGGCAGCAAACTTGTTTGAGAAATGAGGTGCGTTTGTACTTGGGACATCATCTCAAACTTTGGGAAGGAGTCGGTCCTTGCGGCAAATTTGACAATGCCTGTGACAGTGTCTCCATCCTGCAAAATGTCCTGGCCAAAAAATCACAAGCATGAGCACAAGAACATACTTTGGTGTGACTCCGCATGTTTCCTCGAAGAGCTTTACATTCCTCCATGATTGTTTCAGGGTAAAGCGCAGATATCGCAGATGTAAGAAACCTGAACTACAGAAGTACAAACAATCATTGACTTATACAATCTTATATACGTTCTCCAGCATCAAGACTTGTGACTTTGCTTTGCTACACTGCCACAAGTGCTGATCAACCCCTGAGTAAGGGAACAGTTTGAGCTCCATGGCTTTGAGACTTTATATATATATAATTATATATATATACATCTATATATATATATAATATATATATATATCTGCAGTGATTCCATCCACAGACAAAGTAGAAGCTCCTTGAGAATGCACTCGTCTCTGAGGAACTCGCCCTGAAATCAAATCAAAGGATTCAAAGGCCACATTGAAAAACCGATCCTGGGGAAAATATCGATCGATTTGGCGTGAAACGTATGTTTGACAGATTGGCATGTTGCTAGCCGCTTCTGAGAGATTCTGCACTGAATAAAGCAGTTTCAACTCTGCAAAATAACTACTGTGTCATTTGTGATTGTGTACTGGTACTGAATTGACTCGTTTATTTCTCACAGTGAAAGTCCACACAGGTACATCACATCTCAGTTCAACATGGCCACCCTAGTCCGAGAACCTCATTCTTATTCAACAAAGCCCAACCTCACCCAAGACAGAGATAGAGAAAATCTTGGCGCCTTCAGTGTAACCAAGCCATACAGCTGAAGATTCAAGCCTCTAACAGCAGCTGGAATGTGTGCCGCGAGGCTTTCAGAACTACTTCGATGGCAACAAACGCATAAACACGGACAGAAGCAAAAAGAAACAGGCAAACCAACAAACGACAAGCAAATACAAGCGCAACAAACAGACTCATACAACCTGCATAATCATACATGACACTGAACCATCAATTCCCCGCAGGCTGCTACCAGCCGACCTCTTTGTGCGAGGGTCTTCAGCACAGACACGGTTGCATCACATGAGACACCAGTTGCACAATAGCTTCGACCACTTGGAAGGACCACATGGATATCAATGGCCATGGCACGAATTCGAGAGATCTGCTGATGGAGTCGGATGGAGTCGGATAGAATCGGATGGAGTTGGAGGTTTCTCAAAGTGTCTCTGGAGAAGCTTGACTTTTCAAGGGCTCATTCCGGGGGCATTTCAGGACAGCACATCCAGTACTGTGCTTAGGAGCCAAAGCATGGGCCGCCATGGGCAAAGCTGTGTTTCCAAGACCACATTCCCTGATTTGGATCCCCATGAAACTGGACTATGCATTGAGACCATTGATACGGCATAGAGATCTTGAATTGTGTCTGTTTAGAGGACACTTCCTTCACATCCCTCTTGATTCACTAATCGGTCGCACAAGTGACCCTTTCATTCTGGATATCACTGTCAGCCAAGGCGCACTACGCGGTGGTTCCCTGTGTCGGCGACATACATGAAACCTTTTGCCTGGCAGTATCTGTTTCGAAATCGTTGACATCTAACAGGTGATGTTCTCTTTGAAACAAATGAAAGCAACGTCATTCTGCGAAGCGCTTTGTGGACAAAAGCCAATGATAGCCAGTGTCCTCATTCATTTGGAGAACAAATGATTTGTTACTCCTTACTGGTCACACGGTCACAAGCAAATGTTGGGACCGTGAGAAGAACGATACAGGAATTGTCAAAGGGACCATCAGGCCTCTTACAGTATATCTTCGAAAAAAAAAAAGATGCAGCCCACGAACCCGAATGCTCACACGTATGTTAATGGCGCAGATGTCAAAACACATGGATATGCAATCACGCAGAACACTTTTCTGCAATAGTATATTTGAACAGTCTTGTACATATTTCCCCTGTTACCACTCTGCAGTGTGGAGTGTGGAGTGTTGCGTGTGGAGTGTAAAGTGTAGAGTGTGGAGTGTAAAGTGTGGAGTGTGGAGTGTAAAGTGTAGAGTGCGGAGTGTGGGGTGGAAAGTGTAGTGTGTGGAGTGTGGAGTGTGGAGTGTGGAGTGTAAAGTGAGGAGTGCGGAGTGTAAAGTGTGGAGTGTGGAGTGTAAAGTGTAAAGTGTAAAGTGTGGAGTGTGGAGTGTAGAGTGTGGAGTGTGGAGTGGAAAGTGGAAAGTGGAAAGTGGAAAGTGTAGAGTGTAGAGTGTGGAGTGTAAAGTGAGGAGTGTGGAGTGTAAAGTGTGGAGTGTAAAGTGTGGAGTGTGGAGTGTGGAGTTTGTAAATTGTAGAGTGTGGGGTGTGGAGCGTAGAGTGTAAAGTGTAGGGTGTAAAGTGTAGAGTGTGGAGTGTAAAGTGTAAAGTGTAGAGTGTGGAGTGTAAAGTGTGGAGTGTGGAGTGTAGAGTGTAGAGTGTGGAGTGTGGGGTGGAAAGTGTAGAGTGTGGAGTATGGAGTGTAAAGTGAGGAGTGCGGAGTGTAAAGTGTGGAGTGTAAAGTGTAGAGTGTGGAGTGTGGAGTGTAAAGTGTGGAGTGTGGAGTGTAAATTGTAGAGTGTGGAGTGTGGGGTGGAAAGTGTAGAGTGTAGAGTGTGGAGTGTGGAGTGTAAAGTGTGGAGTGTGGAGTGCATAGTGTAGAGTGTGGAGTCAGGAGTCTAAAGTGTAAATTGTGGAGTGTGGAATGTGGAGTGTAAAGTGTGGAGTGTGGAGTGTGGAGTGTAAAGTGTAGAGTGTGGAGTGTGGAGTGTAAAGTGAGGAGTGTGGAGTGTGGAGTGTAAAGTGTAGTGTGGAGTGTGGGGTGGAAAGTGTAGAGTGTGGAGTGTGGAGTGTGGAGTGTAAAGTGAGGAGTGCGGAGTGTAAAGTGTAAAGTGTGGAGTGTAAAGTGTGGAGTGCGAAGTGTAAAGTGTAGAGTGTGGAGTGTGGAGTGTAAAGTGAGGAGTGTGGAGTGCGGAGTGTAAAGTGAGGAGTGCGGAGTGTAAAGTGAGGAGTGCGGAGTGTAAAGTGTGTAGTGTGGAGTGCGGAGTGTAAAGTGTATAGTGTGGAGTGTGGAGTGTAAAGTGAGGAGTGTGGAGTGTGGAGTGTAAAGTGTAGTGTGGAGTGTGGGGTGGAAAGTGTAGAGTGTGGAGTGTGGAGTGTAAAGTGAGGAGTGCGGAGTGTAAAGTGTAAAGTGTGGAGTGTAAAGTGTGGAGTGCGAAGTGTAAAGTGTAGAGTGTGGAGTGTGGAGTGTAAAGTGAGGAGTGTGGAGTGTGGAGTGGAAAGTGTGGAGTGAGGAGTGTGGAGTGTGTAAAGTGTAAAGTGTGGAATGTAGAGTGTAAAGTGTAGAGTGTAAAGTGTAGAGTGTAAAGTGTAGAGTGTGGAGTGTGGAGTGTAAAGTGTGGAGTGTGGAGTGCATAGTGTAGAGTGTGGAGTCAGGAGTCTAAAATGTAAATTGTGGAGTGTGGAATGTGGAGTGTAAAGTGTGGAGTGTAAAGTGTGGAGTGTGGAGTGGAAAGTGTAGAGTGTGGAGTGCGGAGTGTAAAGTGAGAAGTGTGGAGTGTGGAGTGTAAAGTGAGGAGTGTGGAGTGTAAAGTGAGGAGTGTGGAGTGTAAAGTGTGGAGTGAAGAGTGTAAAGTGTAAAGTCTGGAGTGTAAAATGTCAAGTGTGGAGTGTAGAGTGTAAAGTGTAGAGTGGGGAGTGTGGAGTGTAAAGTGTGGAGTGTGGAGTGTAAAGTCTCGAGTGAGGAGTGAGGAGTGTAAAGTGCAAAGTGTAAAGTGTGGAGTGTAAAGTGTAAAGTGTGGAGTCTAAAGTGTAGATTGTGGAGTGTGGAGTGTAAAGTGTAGAGTGTGGAGTGCGGAGCTTCCCGCATAGACACGGCGAAGCCACAGGAAAACCAGAGACTCGAGACGAGACACGTGGGTGCAGAAAAACGAGCATTTCGTGCGAGAGTTCCTCCAATTTTGACATTTTCGACACGGTATCAAACAGGTTGGAATGTCACA